TCTAATGAGCAATGGACGGATCACAGAGCCAGGCCAGGCATGAGCTTGAGAGATCCAGATGCGCCCCCGGGGCAGGACACAGGCCTCTGGAAGATTCTAAAAAGTGACCCTTAGGAGCCTCACTCCACAGCCAGCTTTTTGGAGAACTGGACACACCCCAGGTTACAACCTCCATGAGGGCAGGGGCAGTGCCAGGCTTACCCATCATATGTCCCAGCACCCTGCTCTGTGCCAGAGCTGGGGCTGCACAGACGTGCTTAATAATCAGTGTGCCCCTCGTGTGTGTGTAATTGTGGACTCTGAGCCATCAATTTCATAATTAGTGAACTAACCCATCCACGAGTAGGTGTTGAATAAACATCTGCCTAATTAAGTAATTGGTCCACTCACCTGTGCTCCCCCCTTCCCTAGACATCTGGAGGACTAAGTGCGTGCTGCATACCTTGGAAAGATCCCTCATGGTAACCACTGCTAGCTACTGAGGAGAGTGCTAATAATAAGAGTGGATGCTTATTAAGCACCAATTGCATACCACTGGTAGTTGGGGGGTGCTAGTACCAAGAGTGAATGTTTATTAAGCACAGACTGCATACTGCCACAGCGAGTGTCAGTACTTATGAAGCACTTGCTGCATACCAAGCCCTGACCCAGTGCTTCACACACCATTTCCCACTTACATGCATATCGACCTACGAAATGGTGCAAGTTTGATGCTTTTCCACCCAACACCCGGCCCCGCCCTTCCGGTGGGAGCCTGGAAGTGCTCAGACACTGGCAGTCTCACCTGCCCAAGAGCTCCTTCACAACTGGCTAAGCCATCTGTCAACCCTGCTCCCCTTCACCAGTGATTGGTCTAGGGTGGTCTTGTGACACAGCTCTGGCCAATGAGATGTGAGGGGTATCTGCGAGGAGAACCATGGGAAACACTTTCCCTGATGGGGAGGGGCGGCGGGTCTCCTCCTTCCTGACTCCAAGAGTGAGTGCTGAACACAGGGCTTCGGCTGTGGCCATGCAGGGACGAGCTGGAAACACGTCTGCTGGGTACCAAGACGTGCCCGGGAAGTGCCACTTTATGCGCTGATGAGGAGCATCCAGCAGAGGAGACCCCGCCACCTTTAGACAAAGTCCCACAGCCTCGGGTCCCTCCTTAGGCACCTCCCGTGCAGGGCAAGGGCAACCCCACGGTCGGGGCATGTGCTGGTCACTTGCGGCCGAGCATCTCACTGGGAGACCTGGGAAAACTGAGGCCTGCAGAGGTTAAAAACTAGTCCAAGAATGGAGCTGGGGATTG